ATCTTGACTTGGGGGAACAAATTCACGCACTTGTTATAAAATCCGGTTTTGATTCAGTAGCTCCTGTTGCAAATAGTCTTATGAACATGTACTCGAAGGTMGRGGTTGTTTATGYTGCAGAAAAGATGTTTGTTAACTCACTCAARTTGGAYCTAAYATCGTGGAACACGATGATATCGAGTTATGCTCAGAATCATCTTGAAAAAGAGGCAATATGCACATTCATAGATCTATTACGCGATGGCCCGAKRCCCGATCARTTYACCTTTGCTAGTGTTTTAAGAGSCTGCTCAACCAGTGAGGAAGGAGAGTRTTTCARTCTCARCACACAGGTTCATGACTATGCAATAAAATGTGGTATTGTCAATGAYAGTTTTGTTTTGACAGCACTTATTGACGTGTACTCGAAGAGCGGAAAAGTGGACGAGGCAGAACTTCTGTTGCATAACAAGTATGAATTTGATTTGGCTTCTTGGAACGCATTGATGTTTGGGTACATAAAGAGTAACAAAACTAAAAAGGCGTTAGAACTTTTGAGTCNTAACAAGTATGAATTTGATTTGGCTTCTTGGAACGCATTGATGTTTGGGTACATAAAGAGTAACAAAACTAAAAAGGCGTTAGAACTTTTGAGTCAGATGCATGCAACAGGGCTGCTGATCGATGAAATCACGTTGGCAACCGCAATGAAAGCTTCCAGTTACTTGATCAATTTGGAGCAAGGTAAACAAGTTCATGCTCATCCAATAAAATTAGGATTSAACGATGATTTATGGGTCAGTAGTAGTATTTTGGACATGTACATTAAATGTGGAGACATGTCAAATGCTCTTGAATTGTTCAATGAAATTAGCAGACCTGATGATGTTGTTTGGACGACTATAATCTCGGGTTATGTTGAAAATGGAGACGAGGATCGTGCTCTTTTTGTGTACCAGTTAATGAGGGTCTCAGGAATTCAACCTGATGAATATACCTTTTCTACTCTTATCAAAGCTAGTTCTTGTTTAACAGCTCAGGGGAGACAGATTCATACTAATGTGATAAAKTTGGATTATGCTTTGGACCATTTTGTTGGTACTTCCCTGGTCGACATGTATTGCAAATGTGGTAGTGTTTGAGATGCCTATCGTGTGTTCGGGAAGATGGACGTTGGGAAAGTTGCCTTTTTGAATGACATGTTGTTAGGTTTAGCCCAACACGGTAATGCGGATAAAGCTCTCAATCTTTTCAAAATTATGCAATCAAATGGTATTGAGCCTAATAAAGTTACCTTCATTGGAGTTCTTTCTACTTGTAGTAATTCTGGTTTGTTTTCTGAAGCCTACAAATATTTTGATGCAAGGCCCAAAATATATGGGATTGTTCCTGATATCGAACATTACTCAGTGAATGGCCTTGGCCGGACAAGACGCATTCAAGAGGCTAAAAACGTGAGCCTATATTAAGTGGAATAGGATTCCTACAAACTTTCACACAGAACTTAACAATAATGAAAAATATAATGTTGTGCATTTCTGCTCTATCTTATGAACCCATCTGTTTATACTTATTAGATATAAATATAAAAATTAAATACATTTTAAATTTTAGAACATACTCAACGCAATCTTGAAAGGCGATAATAAACGTATTTAAATGTTTTTTTTTTACATAAATATTTAAATATGCGAAAAGAAAAGTTTTATTTGTATGATGGGGAATCGGGATAGGGCATGGGGATGAGAGGACGGATTTGAACCGGGTCTCGAACCGCACGGGTCCGATTCGAAAACCGCGTGAACCAACTCAACGGACAGGAATGAAATGAAGGAACGGTTGCACTCTTTCCGTTTCTTGCAACGAAGCTACGATTGTCTCTGTTGGCGCGATTAGGGAACCGCATATTTATAAAACCGCAAAATGCAAGAGTCCAGATTCGAGAGATCATCTCCTCCTCGTTGATTTTCCGGGCAGATTGAATTCGAGCAGTACCGACACCGGAAAATGGCAGCCGTCGTGCGAGCTGCCGGGTATATCCTCGTCTATGATCGTCGGCTGCTCACGGCGGTCAATGCCGGAGCCTCCAGTCTGTCGTTCGTGGGATCAGGATTCATAGTGCTCTGCTATGTCCTCTTCAAAGAGCTTCGCAAGTTCTCCTTCAAGCTTATCTTCTACCTTGCCCTCTCCGTGCGTATCTTCTTCTTCTACTTCTTTTATTTCAGATCTACTTTTCTTCATCTCTTCATATCGTTTAGCGCGAATCGGTGGTCTTTATTCTAATTCTTTGTTTTCGTTCATTGAATTAACTTGACGTAAAATAAAGATCAAATTCGAATGACGAAGCGCGAATTTCATAGCATGGTTAGTTACAGTTGCTGTGTGTGGAGTTCGAAATTTAGGATTATCCTTCTTGTTTCTACCTTGCTGTAACTTCTCAATTTTAATCAGGATCTCTTAATGTTCTGCTGTTGAATGCTCTAGGGTTTTTCGGTTGAGGATTATTTTACCAAATTTGATTTGATTTCGAATGTTTAATTAATTACGAGCTACTTGTTAATATCTACAATTGTTGGTGCTCGGTGCACATTTTGTAGTCGGATTTTTTAAAAAAAAAATTTGTTTGCAGCACTAGGCCTGGTGACTTCACAATTTTGTTTGTTTGCAAGTGATTCATTAATATCGGTGAAGCCGTGCCATATTCTGCGATAGTCGTATGCACCGAATAAAGTAGCTAAAGCTGTATAACATTTAACGTCATGGACAGCCACTGATCTTAAATTCTGTATTACGCATGTAACCGTACAATTCAACCGGCTACACTAATCAATTAATAAAAAGTCCATGTACTGACAGGCATGGCGCCGCTTGATTTTCTTTTCCTGCGAACTGAAATTAATAAAATYTGCGCTAAGAAATAGAACTGCACGGAAAAGGCAGTTTCTGGAGCGAGAGACTTTCTTTGATTTTCAGCKAAGATGTTAGCTGAAAAATGCTTCTTTAGTTTATTAATCGCAATTTCTTGGGATGCAGGATATGCTTTGCAGTTTCTTCAACATGATTGGGTAGGATTCCTGGTGTCATCTTCACAAAATGGATACACTTCGTCGTTCCACAACTTTTTACTTATGAATATTGTTCTCAATTTAGGGATCCGGCAACAGGATTTTACTGTTATGCTCAGGGCTATAGCACGCATTTCTTTTGTGTGGCATCCTTCTTGTGGACCACAACAATTTCATTTACTCTTCACCGTACTGTTGTTAGACACAAAACCGACGTTGAAGATTTGGAGGCTATGTTTCACTTGTATGTATGGGGTACGAATTCAGCTGTTACATTTAATTAGCATCTCATATAACTTTTGACTTCTATTTTTCCTTACACATTAGATATTGCTTTTGGACTACTCATTGAGCTATCTTTTGTTTTCTTTCCCGTTCTATTGTTTCATATACGAGTTATTTTGTAATTTAGGATGCTAATTTAATTATTGATTATATTTCCAGGAACGTCGTTAGTATTGACTGTCATACGTTCTATTGGTAATCACCATGGACATTTGGCTACCTGGTGTTGGGCACAAACAGGGCGTACAGGAAAGGTGAGTAACTTCAAATCACCTCCTTTAAGCTAGACTGTGTTTCCGTTATATTATGCATGCGGATGTGAGTATCTCTTATGTCAAGATGACTCCGCGATTACAATGTGTATTGCACTGAGAAGCCAGGACAATTGAGCAAAATCCACAGGAGAACTTGTGATTTTTTCTTCCAGTTTCTTATTCCAAAGATATTTGTGTACACGAATTTCAAAAAGATCTTTTAAGTTTTATGCATTAGAACAATAATATTAACTTGTATTCTTCGCATAGTGCACTCACATTGATGCTGTCTACATTTACAAATGCAGTGTTAAACTTAACATGAAATTTAACATAAGGAATAGAAGTTCCATCTTTATTCACAATTCACTGGATTGCGGATTCTTACCTGTAAATAATTGTAGTTGTTAGAAATGGTTAGAGAATGTGATTTGTGTCTCAAGCTTGGAAAGATAAGGGCTATTTCTTTTTACAATAAATCTTCAACTTTAGTTGTGATTGCATTTTCATACTAGTCTCACTCTGAATATGTACTTTCTTGCAGGCTGTTCACTTTATAACATTTTACATGCCGCTCTGGGGTGCAATTCTCTACAATGGCTTTACATACCTCCAAGTGATACGCATGATTAATAATGCTACCCGTGTATGTACTTGAATTATTTCTGAAAAATATTATACACGGGTCATCTTTACAATTAATAAAACCTTCTGTTGTGAAATTTTCAGATGGCAGTTGGCATCTCAGATAGATACCAGTCAGATGCAAGAGCAGATAAGAAGGTGCGATTTCCATTAATTGCTTTGATATGATGCAGAGAGATAAGAAAAGAACGTCCTAAGAACTAGATAGAATGAAGATCGTTTTATTATTATTATAATAAGGGGTTGACGATGATTTTGTTTGTGGTTCTCTTCACACTAGATACATGGACACTAGAATAGATAAATCAAGAAAACTATCTAAAATATTGAATTATAGGCATTTAATCTCAAGTTCAGAATTGTACTTCAGTCGGTGTCATCTATTTCACCCACACAGATATATATATATATATTTCTCTTTGTTAGAGTAAATCATGTGGTTTTTTCCCTTTCCCATTTAACAGGCTTTGAACCGATGGGGGTATTATCCACTCATCCTCATAGGGTCATGGGCTTTTGGTACAATCAACCGGATTCATGATTTTATTGAGCCAGGTCATAAAATCTTCTGGCTGTCGGTTCTTGATGTTGGGATGGCTTCTCTTATGGTAATCATTGCAACTTAACTTTTTTTTTTCTTTTTTTTTTCTCCTTGGAAATAGTTGTTTAATGAGTTGATGATTATGAATTCTGGGTTGAGTTTTAACTTTTAAGGATGTTTTCCCATTATATATTGCTAATCACTCCAAAATGCAATAGTTCAAATCACCGCTTAGACAATTAACTTTTCACAAATGTTTGCGATATGATTAGATTTCTGTTGGTAACAGTAACAAGCTAGTTTTTGTTGCCTACGTGCTTTAGGGCTTGTTCAATTCAATAGCATATGGTCTGAATTCTTCAGTGCGGCGAGCGATATCTGAAAGACTAGACCTGTAAGTATAATGGCTGCTTATATCATTTCTTCCCATTCTTTAATCTTTTCACTTGAACATCCAAATGTTTGCATGATTATTTTTCTCTGCTTCATTAATATTTATCTATTGCTATACTAGTGGTGGTTATGATTATGGAACTCTGCTAGGTATAGAATTGATAATAACCCCCTCCTCCGTTGCCTTTCACAAAAAATGAAGGAAAAAAAAACAATGGAGTTATGGCCGCCCATCACTGTAAAACTAATGGGTGTACTATCTTTTAGAGCTGGTTTTTCTGAAACACTGTTGCATTGTCCAGTCGCAGGAGCTAATGTTGACTTTTAGTATAGAAATAGATATTAGCCTAATAAAGAGTGTATGTGAGCCAAGATGAAAAATGTCTGGGTTTATCTTTTTTTTGGATAAAGAAACGATTCATTCAACATGGAGCCGAATCACAACCAAAAGGACAGGGGTCGAGAAGACCCCCTCCAAAAACGAACAACAACTAACAAAGCAAAGCTCTCCAGTCTTGTAGGATCATAGAGAGGCCGTAGTTACAGAATAATTTTGTATTTCTATGGCACCACCAAGAAGCTGTGATATGTACACTATTACAAAAAGAATCAAAAGATTTAGACTTATCTTCAAAAGAACGAAGGTTCCTTTCCATCCAAATATTCCATAGTAAAGCTCTGAAGGCACAACTCCACAAAAAATAGGCTTTTCCTTTAAGATGCCATCCGTGGAAACACTCAAGCACCCAATCTTCGATGCTCCTATGCATACAAACCGAGAGCCCAAAAATGTCAAACAAAACCGTCCACTTTAATAAATTGGCCATGGATAGTGATAGAAGCTTAAATTCGTGGTTTTAAATACTGTGAGGTACCAAATTCTTTTGGGTATTTGACAAAGAACTTCCTCATAGAGTTGAGTCACTATCATGAGACTTTGGGCTTCAGTGACGGATAAATTAAAGGAAGTATATTGAGAATGCGTATGCCACCTCCTTGGTCTTGAATCTCTCTGATACAATGCGTATGTGTCAAAAAAATAATAATAACAAAATAATACTTGGCTTCATTGTTCATTTGGTTTTAACTCAAACATACCTTCTTTTGAGTGGTTGCTTGTTTTTTGGTATTTAACCAGGTTTTGGCCTGAAAAACTTCGGAGATGGCTCCCCAGCAGTTCAAGGTTCAGAAACCAACAACAAGAAAGTGAACTGGTTTCCTTGAGAAGTCAAGATCAGCCATAGCGAATTGGTAACAGATGTGCCTCTATCGGCAAGACCTCCTTTACAAGATTTATTTCGTCCGTTTTTTAAGAGGGCATGTAAATAGGAGCAGAGCAATTCATTGTGCGCAGGGTAATGACCATCCGTTTTGTCGATGTCATTTTCATGATCTGCTGCTTTTTGCGGGTACTGATTCTTCGCTGTTCTCTGATTGACATTATGGAGAATTAGCTTTTTCTCAAGTGGTGAATACAGATCAGGGGTGGAAAATCGTGGAATATAAAGCTTGGATACTGAATCTGTAGATTGTAGAAAAAGATTGGGCTGCCTGATCAGAATTCTCCTGTATGCTATTTTATGCGCCGAAAATTACCAATTTTTCATTGCTAAGCGCTCACTCAGCTTTAATATATCATCATAGACCTTAAAATAGAATGTCGTCTCTCACTTTTACCATATCTATACTTGTTACGACCTCTGCCTTATTAGATATTATTCACTGCAAAAGTTCAGATAAGGCAAGCCATTCACGCTACACTGCAACAGGTCACTCATCTTATTATGCCAAATTTTTTTGAAAATTTTGTGTCCTTAAGTTTGTGGTTGGATGTTCTATTACAAAACTCTGATTTGACACGTAATTTTATCTTATCTTGTAATTATTATTTAATTTAGTGGGATTCGTTTGTGGCTTCTGAATAATTCTTTATTCCATAAAAAGCACGTATTGTCAAATCCCAGATCATTGGCAGGGTTGATAAGCTGAGACCGCCGCAATAGCAGCACATGCTTTTTAGCCTTTCAGTCGGGAAGGGACGGTGGTCTCAATCAGTGGTGGCGATCGCTTCCTGTTTGTTGCAGATAAGCATGAGGTGGAAGCTGCCGTTTCTAAGGAGCCAACTTTACAGATAAGCTATTTCATTCTTAAATTAAATTCTTGCTCATTTCACATAGTAGATTTTCAGAATTGTTTTCAACTAAATTACAAATCGTGTCTTTTTGGTTTTATTTCTGGTTTTCCATTTTCAATAATGAAATTTATGGAAGCATTATGCCTGCCCTTTTTCTTTGTTTAGTTTTCACCATTTAGAAATTTTATGCAGATTTTAAAAACAATATTTTTTAAATTACTATTTTGGTTTTTTTGAAATTAGATTAGTAAATAACATAAAATAAAGACGCTACCAAACTAGTCCAGTAATTTCCTTCTCAACGTGGTGTTGCGAATGATTTTGTAGATTTCAAATTTATTGTTGTTTTCCAACTCTTTCTAGTTATGATCTCATTCATTTCTGTCTCGCTTATTAGATTTAGATGTGAGCAATATACAACCGCCTTTTTTTTTTTTTAGTTCAGAAGAATTCATAATTAAAATTTCAGCATAAGCGTGTCATAAAAGTCACAACCCTAAGAGATTAGGTTTTGAAATTTATATAAATTCAAACAAAAATTTAAAGCTATAAAAAGAAGAAGAATAAGACTAAGTGTGTTATTTCAATCATTGACAGACGTAACGTACAAGAGGATGTGAAAATTTACCACGATTAAAAGCTTTGAAGTATTCGACTATGACAGTTCATAGGCTGAAAGGAGAAATGATGTTAATGCGGAAGATTTGGGAAAATCGAGCTTGACACGTCTGGACTACGGTGAGGGGCCAGAGAGGTAGGACATTGGCTTGATTTTAGGATTGAGGGAGGCAATAATCTACACTAGAAATAGAATGAAAGACACCGGTGTGGTATGGACCTATTGTACTCTGATGCTTATGCCAGAGCTCGAGTTTAAGTATGGTTTTGTAAGGATAGAATGGTGTTACCTTAAATGGTTGCAACCCCTATATTTATAAGTTTATGGAGATGACATCACTGTCGATGCGTGGGCCTAACCCACTTGGGGAGCTCTAGTGACATGGCCTATCTAAGGAAAGCCTGTTCTGCTCTGATAGTCGGGGTGGATGCATGCTACTTCCTAAGAAGCGAGTCGTGAGTTTGGGCGGGCTTACCTAGTGTGGTCATACCATTCTTTGTCGGTCCGGTGAATTGGCTGACGTGGAGGGTTTTGGGCTGGGGTGGTGGTCGTGCTGGCCCGCTTCAGCTCGGGCCGTGCCTTCAGGATGGCTTGCACTTTGAGGTCAGTGGTCCCCAGTCTTTCACTCTACTCCCAACAAATAGTGAAAAACATCCCAACCGAAATCTTACATTTGAGATAAAAACTTTGAGAGTGGTACTTGCTATAGTATGCAAACCTGAGAAGACAGCTAATGATTGGGGAAAAGAATAATTATGTGTAAACCAACTCCCAAAGTCACAAAAGGCCACACGTCGCACCACGGAGAGATTTGACACAGACAAGCACCTAATCATAAAAATATAAAGACACTTTGATGCCCGGATTTTGCATCATCTGAGCTGTTTTTATGTCAAATCTAGCTAATATTTTACCGGAAAAAGGAAGAAAGTGATTGCCTTCTGGTCTGCCCATTTGGAAAAGGATAACTTGAGATTGAGAAAATTGGGTTTGTTTGTACACATGTATTTGGGCTTAACAGATTGGAACTTAGAAAAAGGTTGGGACAGCTGCAAAATCTATATTTTCTTTTGTGAAAATTAGGATTGGAACATCCGTCTAAAATTTAAACTCCAACTGGACTGGAAAAACTGAACTTACAAACTCAAAACACTACCCAAAAGGCCAAAAAA